ACCACCAAAACCCCCCCCCGCCCGCCGGTGGGGGGGGGGAATTCTGAGAGTTGAAGTCCACACATCTTAAAGTTCCCAAAGTTGAGAAACACTGTCCTAGAAGGACAGTTTTGTTTCGTTTTGCTGTGAAAAAAGTATTTTCGGTTTTGTGATCCGCCCCCCCCCCCATTAAGAATTTGGCTTTATTTGACTCAACAAGTTGATCTTTCTCCAACTCCCTCCTATGCAAGCTTTTTAAAAAAAGGGATCTGGAATGCCTGACAGTTATTTTGGGAGGAGAATAATTAACTGCAGGAGTCATAAATTCTATACAATGAAAATCTAGTCCTCTGTCATATGAAGGTATGCCTGAATTACGCAAAGCTTTTCTTTAAATGCTTTTTCCTTTTCTGCTTTGTTTTCAAGGTTGGCACAACCTCAACTATATATGCTTCCAAACTGAAGTTTAATTTGGAATGGACTCTTTTTATTCATTCTTTTTTTATGGCGAATCTAAATGATCACTTTGTTGCCCTGAAGAAATTTGTATACTTCTTTGCATCATCGTCATTATTTTCATAGCCATTCTTCATGGTACAGGAGCAGGCTTTCGGATGTAAATACACAAATAGCTGTTGAAATATTCAGAGCTCCTGCCTGCTTTCCAGTGTGGCTCTTTTTACTGTATCCTGTTGGGTGAAGCAGGGAAATGGCCGATAATTTTCTGTTAATTTCCCCTTGAATTGCTTCGCTTGGTAGGCCAGCCACCACATAATTGCCACTACACTTGATGAGAAGTAATAAAAGGGATAAAGCTGGCAGAAAGGAAAGTTTTAATTAACATTAGAGATTTCTGCTGATTCGGGCTGATTTCTTGGTATGGTAGGATCTTGACCGTTGAGAAAGACATTCCTGAATAATATAGCATTATATTAAGTGCTGCGTAGAACCTCTCTTAATTTTCCTTCCAGCTGATTGCAGAATAGCTTTGGCTAAGCACAGCCAAACCGCTTTAATCTAGAAACCCCTGTATCTGATAGGAGTAGCCAATTTACAGTGTGTTCATTGGTTTAATAAATCTTTGTGATGGGTTTTAATATGAAACAATCACTTGTAAAATGCACTTTGTAGGTTTATACGCTGCCTTTCCACTGTTGTCTGTAACCCCCCCTGTCAGAATGCAGCGGTCTCTCCTAGAGAATGTTGGCCTGGTTCAGAGATTGGGCTGAATCATACTTTGGGTTTTTGGGTTTGATGTGACGGGCGAACTCATTTGCTATGCTTTAGAACTGGGGTTTCGGGTATGGCATTGGAGAGCACCTGTGAGCCTCCCAAGCCTTTGGGGACCATTTTTCAGTTTCCATGCTCCGCTTGATTTTATTTTTTTAAGATTCTTTTAATTAAATCATACTACTTGGGGAGCTGTGAGAACCAGTTTGGGGTAGTGGTGAAGTCACCAGGCTACAAATCAGGAGGCCCTGAGTTCTAGTCCCGCCTTAGCCACGAAGCCAGCTGGGGGACCTTGGGCCAGTTTTTATTGATTAGCCGTGAGGCCATATCAAAATACATGATGATAATAAAGGCTGGGGAATTCTGGGAGTTGAAGTCCACCCATCTTAGTTGCCAAGGTTGAGAAACCCTGCGTTAGAGGATAAGGCAGGTTGGAAGGAAGGCTGGCCGGGGAATTCTGGGAGTTGAAGTCCACCCATCTTCAAGTTGCCAAGGTTGAAAAACACTACACTAGACCATAAAGGCTCTCTGGAATGGCATACAAGCCTGATAAAATGAATAAATAATATGCAAGTTGTGAAGGGCTCTTCTTAATACACCCCCCCATGGATGCAGAGGAAATACTGCTTTATAATATAGATCAGTATAATTGATTTGTTCATTTAAAGCATTCATCGGCCACTTTGTATCACAACGATTTCAGGTTTGCGTACAAGAATTAAAAGAATGCAGAATAAAATGGCAGAACGTGGTCTGCCTTTTTAATACAAAAGTGGCTGCTGGTTGCTGTGCTGTGCAGTCAAGGAACTTGAATGAATTTGAATTTTTATGGTATCTGTATATTGCAGTAATCTAATCTGGGGTAATTCCATAGCATGGAATCACCTCCATTCTTTCTGTTTGTTCTTGGAATGATAGATGGCTCTTTTTTTGTATTCTTAATTTTAACATTTGCAAGGGCTTGCTCATATACCATCATAAATCTGTTATGGTGCAATCCTATTATCTGAATTTTTGTTAAATGGTTCCTAACTTACATATATGGATCTCCAGTTGCCGGCAGGCAGATTGTAGGATGAATAATGTGAAAATAAAATGCTGCACGTCTCATGTGTAACTTAATCACAGTTGCATTATTATTCACAACCATGCAGTTATATGCCCTGTGACACTTAAGAGAGCAAACATAATACATTTTTAACAGTATTTACATTTTTAATACTCTCTGAACTGTAAGTTTGAGTTCCATCCTCGATAAACTCTTAAAATTTTAAAACTGTTTGCTTGTCTGGTAGTCTGCAGAACGTTCAGAGATGATGCAATGGTCCACATGAAGAAAAAGTCTGGGAATTGTTGTCCAGAGAGTCCCTCTCCTGAGTGTGCTTTGGATTGCAGCCTGATAATGATGCAGCCCTACATATATCAACTTAAAACTTATTCCTGTTTGAGCGTGATGGGGCTTACTCCCAGAAAACTAATTATAGTAATATAGTTTGGGTCATTAAGGTGTCACAAAAGTTCCCCTTACTTTTTTTGCTCCGCAGACTGAAATGGCTGGGCTTTTGGAATTTAACTGGGTAAATTAATGAAAGATAGCAAAGATTACATTACTTGCCCCATGCCACCTCCTTTGGATGTTGGTTTTAAATTTTGGGATTGTGCAATTCCTGTTGCTGTTTTTCAGATAACTTACTCCCAAATCATTCTCGTCTTGGGTGCTGATAGTCAATAGGTTGGTTTCTCTCTGTTAATCCCATGCTTCTACATCTATAATTAATTTTGCCCTGGTTATTTTTAATTAAAGAGTGTGATGACCAGCTGGGAAGACGACTTGAGGACATCTGTTGCAGAGCAGATGGGGCTGAACCGGAACTCCAGCATGTCCATTCCCAACTATTCAGAGGATACATTTACATCCCTGAGTGAAGGAGAACAGGATGACAGGCAGTACGAAAATGACTCATTTGAATCTTATTACTCAGTAGAGGAGTTGGAACAGCCGGCAGCATCTGATCTGACCCAAACCACTTGGCAATCATCGCGTCAAAATGATGAAGGTCAGTTTTAGGCTCCAGAAGTATTTCGTCCAGTTCCTCCTGCAGGTTTACAATTATGGGGAGGAGGCTTAGATCAGCCAAAATACAAAAAGGATTGCAAGGGGGGAAAAAAGGCAAAAGAGAATCTTATCAACTTTGCGTGAAACAGCAGATTAAAACTTTTTTTTTTGCTAACTCAGAAAGTCCAGAAAGTCTTAGTGATATTGAAGAAACACATTATGTACCAGGCAAAAGAAGGAAATGTTTGTGTGCAGCATTTGGCACAATGGTGCAGTTGATCTGTGGGACAGCAGGCAGATCTGGTAGGACTGCAGGAGCAGCGAGAGATTGGATGCCCAATAGGCGTAGCTGCAGATCATTTTTTTGTGTTCTCTGCTGTAGTGACAGCCATGGACAAATAAAACTGTCTAGCTTTGGCCAACGATTACAGCAGTATTTATCAACCTTAAGAACTTTAAGATGAGTGGACTTCAACTTCCAGAATTCCCCAGCCAGCCATTCCCCAGTTGCCAAGGTTGAGAAACACTGGACTACAGTAATCAAGGGGAAAGCCACAGATAGTAGGAGGACATAACAGAGGAGAAAATGATAACTCTTGCCCCCTTCCCAGGTTCTGTGCATAGGATATCCTTTTAACCAGTGCTTTAATAGCTACTTGACTAAGAGAAGCTAGAAGGTTTTACACAATTTTGTTTCTCCATATGCCTGCTTTTAGTTTATCTTGTACAGCCCAATTCCTCCTCCTAGAATGATATGCCAGAATCAAACAAGTCATGTTTTAGAGTAGCATAATGTGGGAGCACAGCAAAAATCTTGGAAGGTTAAAAGTTGCCAAGAACTGCACCTGAACATATGGAGTACTGCATGTTGCTTTAAATGTGCAAGCCCATGCTTGTGAATTAAACAGCTTCACACATCTTTTGTGGATGTCTGAGGCTTTTAGATTGTACTCCATGCATGGAAGTTTGCAGTATGAATCCATTTGTCATTTGGCTGACCCCTCTCTTCCTTCCTTCCTTCCTTCCTTCCTTCCTTCCTTCCTTCCTTCCTTCCTTCCTT